GTGTGTGCAGGAGGCAGCCAGCCGATTGATCAATGATTCTTTCTCATCATTGATGTTTCTCTCTCTCTTTCTCCCTCTCCCTTCCTCTTTGAAATCAATAGAAATATATATTTTTTAAAAAGTTATATGGGCTACTTCACCATACACCATCTAAAAAAATTAAACTGCATAATCTTCATTAAGTAGTCAATCTCTTAAGACACTGAAATTACTTGCTGTGGAAACATGTTTATTATGACTCAATTCTGTCAAGTTATTTATGGGACATTTAAAGACAAAAGAACAATTTAAGCCGAAACCGGTTTGGCTCAGTGGATAGAGCATCGGTTTGCGGACTGAAGGGTCCCAGGTTCGATTCCGGTCAAGGGCATGTACCTGGGTTGCAGGCACATCCCCAGTGGGAGATGTGCAGGAGGCAGCTGATCGATGTTTCTCTCTCATCGATGTTTCTAACTCTCTATCTCTCTCCCTTCCTCTCTGTAAAAAATCAATAAAATATATTTTTTTAAAAAAAGAACAATTTAATATCAAATGTGAAGTATTGTAATTAGAGGCATTTCACTACATATGTGGATGATTTTTATCACATAATTGAAGTAACTGATGTGATTTTCAAAATTTAAAACTGCTAAGCTATATCATTATCAGAGGTATACAAAACAGACTTATTTACTCATAGCATTGTATATGGCTAAATCTCATTATTCCCTGTGTGAATAAAGAAACCTGACTCCTTTTCTTAGGCAGCCACCAAGCACAGCCAAAACCCCTGAATCTAAGTATGCTGGAAATGTAATAAGTAAATCCAGGTCTATTTTCACGCTTACCTTGCAAAACAAGCATGTTTACTTTTTAAAAAATTATCAAGTTGTAAATCAATTTAAAGAATGTACCTCGGACTCACTGCATCCCGGGGAGAACGAAGCCATTCTTGCAGTTTATCACTGGAAGCAACTCCTGCTTTGACCAGGTATGAATAGGGTTCCACACGGAAGGCCCAGAAGTGCTTCCCTTTTGTAATCCCAGCATCTCCAATGATGTAGTCTAAGCTTGTGTAGTATCCCACTTGGATGCGTTCTGCAGCAAGCAGAAGGTTAAATCCAGCTCTGCTCTCTACACGGTCTCTCTTCAAGTTCAGCAAGAGGTGTTCATTATTATAACCACATTTTTCATCAAAGAGGAAATTGAAAACTGTAAATAAAGCTTACAATTAGTCTGCGAAATATTTACTAGCATTTCTATAATTTACTGTTAAAAATAGTAGGTTTTTTAAATAGAAATTACTGAAAAGAGACAGGATGTATTATACTACCCTAGATCAAACTATGACAAACCAAAACCCCAACTTAGAAATAACTTGCCATAAACTCTCTATACCTGGAAATGTTCAGACCTCAAAGGCAGAAGAAAATATTTTAAATATGAGAAAACTTATGTGGCTCCTTAGAATTGATATAACAAATCTATCCTAAGTATTTCACACTATTAGATCTGTGTTTTGCCTCTAAAATAAAGGGTTGTACATTTTCATAATTATCTATGTTTTCTTAAATATTTACTCCAAATTTTATAAATTTAAAAAATAACAGCAATTTTAATAACGTCTTTTCCTTATTCATCAACATGGGAACAGTGTACAGTGTAAAAAAAGAAAGCATAGGCTTTGTGTTCAGAGAGACATGGGTTTGAATCCTGCTCAAGCATTTAACTGGAATTTAACCTAAATTTTAATTTCCTCAACTAGAGAATGAATATAAGATTACTTCTAAGCCTCTATCAACTCAAATCCATTAAGCATAACAGCAGCTGCTAGTCCAAAAACTGGGGATAATCAAAATGTCAAACAGATGGATAAAGAAAATGTAATATCCTATATAATAAAAGGCTAATATGCAAATAGACCAAACGGCGGAACAACCGAACAACCAGTCACTATGACGTGTGCTGACCACCAGGGGGTGTGCACGAAACATGGCAGGCGTCAGCCATGGCGGGATGGTGGAGCAGGTGAGCGGGGGCGCCAGACCAAGGTGGGGTGCCGGTTGCTTGTCATCAGGACAAAGCTCTGGTGGTTACTGAAAATTCTTTGCTCCCATGTGCCGAGGTCCCACCCAGCACTTACACCTGCTGCTGGTGCCAGCCTGATCGCTTGGCGCCCGTCAGCAGGTGCAAACGGCAGCTGCCAGCCCCGATCGTCTCTCAGGGCTTCTCCACCTCCCCCTGCTCCTGAGGGGCAATCAGGGCAGCAGTCACCGCTCGCACCCACTGACAGGGCTGGCCCCACTCACACCCAGTGCTTGCCCACAGCAGCCTCACGGCCCACAGTTCCTTTCAAGGTACATGAATTCATGCACTGGACCCCTAGTATATTAGTCAGCTAAAAAAGAAGGAAATTCTGACATGCTATAACATAGATGAATCGTGAAGCCTGCCAGTCAAAGGATTCTGTGAATCTACTTATATGAGGAACCTAGAATAGGCAAACTCTGAGGCAGAAAGTAGAATAGCAGTTATCTGGGAAAGGAAAATGGGAAATTACTATTTAATGGGCATGAAGTTTCAGTTTGGAAAAGGTGAAAAAATTCTACAGATGTGAGTGGTGGTGGTTGCACAACGTTGTTAGTGTACTTAATGCTACTGACCTGTACACTTTAAAATGATGAAAATGGTAAATTTTAACTATATTATACACCACAATTTTCAAAACTGTCTACTAGCAAGTTAACATCATTCTCCATATGTAGCCGACATTCATTCTTTCTGGTGATGCCTATTGTGTCAATATGGTAAGTCATGCATGCTTGCATGCTTGCTTTTGATCTCAAATCTCCCAGTTTGCAAACTGGATTTAAATGGCCACCCTATTCATATGCTTCTCTCAGAGAAAAGGAAGACAACATTTAACACTTCCTTTCCTCCTTCCCCCTCCGCTGTGTTACTGAAAACAGTAGTTACTTTCAGGTTTCTTTTTTTCTTCCACTTTCAGTCAGAGACTAGAAAGGAAAGTGAAGACTGCATACACTATAAAATATTTACATAATAACTGCAAATCCATCCTAAAACTCTATTGGGTTTTATTGAGATTCAAGAAAAACCCTTTTAGCCAACTCTATTTATCTGTATCCTCATTTTTTAAAATTACCCACAATGTGCATGAAAAACCAACAGTGAATGAGTACACTTTGAACAAAAAGGGAAGGAAGGGCAGACTGCACAAAATATGGAAACTAAGCCACTACAAATGGGCAGGGGCTATGGGGTCTAGAAACCAACTGACAGCCCTCTGAGGCACTGACCAACAGGGCAAAATGTTTTCCCGCAAACAACAATGAGCATGACCTTGGTCCAAGTGTCCCTTGTCCATGTAGACATTATAGTGAACATCAACTAACCTATAAATCATTCCCATTCTATAAAAATCTAAAGACGTCTGTAAGTACAGTGGGGCCTTGATTTACGAGTTTAATTCGTCCCAAGCTCGATAAGGAGCTCACTGACTCAAATTACTCTATCAACTCAATGCAAAAAATCAGCTGAGACACAGCTGGTATCTCAAAAAACTCGTTAGTCGGGACACTCGTAAGTCAAGGCCCCACTGTAGTATCAGTGGGTTTTAACTTGAAAGGGGGAGGGACCGTGGCTGGGGAGAAAGCTATCCACGTGGTTCTAAAATATCCCCAGGTGTTAGGAATCACTGTGTTAGGAAATCCAGACAAGTATAAATTTGGTTAATCAAAATTCTATTTCATATTATACCAATACATTTTTAAACTATCTATCTAGATTCTATGTTCTAGAGATTTCTATAAACTGGAACAAATATAGAATTTTACTATTTAAAACTTGTACGGTAGCATTTATGCCATTTTAATCCCAAATTAATAGTCCTGCTCCCTCAAATTCTTCCTTTCAATTTTTCTTTATTTGATATCAGTCAAAAATCTAATCCTCTCCTCAGCCTACATGGTGAAATTAATGTAATCAGTCCATTTCTAAAACCTAGCTGGGTATGGTTTCCATAAACTTTTACAAATGAGAGCTGCTTTTACTGTAGGTCTACACAGAGACATTGGCTAGCTTATGTTTATCAAGGTCTCTTCCAACGCTATGCTTTTTAATTCCCAATGGTTACAATACCTGGAGCCGGAGGAGTATGAAGAATCAATTCTCTGCTGCAAGGACTGCAGATGGAACCCTTGTAGGCTCTTACTCTGAAAGCATAGTTACAGTTACTTTCAAGTTCTGAAATAACTTTACTTGTGCCACAAACTTCTATCTCATTCCAAGACAACATTTCCTGATCTCTATTAATCTTCCGATATTCGAGGACATAGCTATCAGCTGTATCCTTTTCTGGATGGTGCCAATTTATCAACGCATTGTTATAAACTTTGCTCTGTTCCTCATTGATCTCTGGCACATCTATGCCTGAAAAATTATGAAACAGAAAATAACGTTAAAATGTTGCTATTAAAGAATGTGTTTTTCCTCAATAAAAAATGCATTGGCAACACTTAAATGATTTCTGGTACCGTTCAACTTTCTAAATCTGTAATTCTATGTATGAGAAAAACAATAATTCCTGTGCATGTGACAGCATGGATGGACACTGCAGACATACTAAGTGAAATAAGCCAGGCACAGAAAGACAATTTTTGTGTAGATGCTGCCAGTATTTTAACTGACTGCATGATAGAGGTATCTCAAACAGTCCAATTCATAAAATCAAAGACTGGAATGGTGGTTACCAGGGGCTGGGGGGAGGGGGCATAAAGTCCCACTTAAGCAAGATGAACAAGCCTAAAGGTCTGCAGCACAACACTGGGCCTAGTCAACTAGTGTGATGCAACACTTACAATCTGCTACAAGCAGATACTCGTGGTAAGTGCTCTTACCACAAAATTTCTTAAAAAACAGTTAAGTAGAGATTTAAAAAGGTACATTTGTGTTTATAACTTCAAAGGAAAAGAATGAAAAATAAGACCAAAAATGGACTCGATTTTAGCTTTATATTAATTCTGCAAACACTATAAATACAAATTTTAACTATATGCCTTCAATTTCCATCGACTGAATAACAACCCTCAACTTTAAAATATTAATTTGTGTCCTCCTATAAACAATTCTTTTTTTAAAAAAAATATATTTTATTGATTTTTCACAGAGAGGAAGGGAGAGGGATAGAGAGTTAGAAACATCGATGAAAGAAAAATATCGACCAGCTGCCTCCTGCACACCCACCACTGGCGATGTGCCCACAACCAAGGTACATGCCCTTGACCGGAATCGAACCTGGGACCCTTTAGTCCGCAGGATGACGCTCTATCCACTGAGCCAAACCGGTTAGGGCAACAATTCTTTTAATAAACATTTTACTAGTAAAATCTAAGTTTGGTGAACATAGCAAAAAAACCTCAATGAAACATTATACAATTTTCTTTCATATTTTTCCAAAGAGTTGCAAAGCAATTTAAATAGTATTTTCATAGTATAAATGTGATTTTTGTAAGATAATTAGAAGCTACATAAAACATGCAAAAATATGTTTTAAGTAATTCAAAGATAATCACTACAATAATTTTGTGTAGATCCTGCTAGTATTTTTCTCCCAGTGGCATTCCACTGTATGGAATGTATCAACTTTTAACTATTTATATGCTTCTAATTTTTCACTAAAAATACAATGGTTAAAATATTACCACTAAGTCATTGTGTATATCCATAATCCTTTTTATAAATTCTAATAAGTTAAACCATCTGAATCATATGGTAAGAATAAGCTATAAGAGTTACTACAGTCCTGACCAGTTTGGCTCAGTGGATAGAGCAGTGATGGCGAACCTTTTGAGCTCGGTGTGTCAGCATTTTGAAAAACCCTAACTTAACTCTGGTGCCATGT